AGAGAGAGAGAGAGAGAGAGAGAGAGAGAGAGAGAGAGAGAGAGAGAGAGAGAGGTCGTTGTTATTTTATTATATTACACAACACAGAAGGTATCGCGAGATGCGGGGTAGAAATATCTGAGATACTGGACTGTGATTCTCTTCTACTGGAAAAATACGCGAATTTTATGTATAGCGATCGAGTAACCCAGTAATTTTTGGAACATTCGTCGAGTACAAGTTGAGTACTGGTGAAATCCAGAACGAAGGGCTCTCTGTAGACTACAATGCCTCCAATGCCTACATTAAAACTGTTCTCGAGATGTACATGAAATAGACCAGTTGTTTCTGAACTGATGAAAACTGGCGGACCTCGATAAGTTCCTAGAAATTTTCAAAAATGCTCACATACGCACTGATGACGTTGGCTCATATTTGCCTATTGAATCACTTAGCAAATTCACGTTGGTGCAAAGTATTAGGTATAATCTCAATCAATCCTATGCTTATCAATCGTTGACAGCTTGCACGATAATTTCACTCTATCGCGAGCTTCCCTAAGCAAGAAGCGTCATAGAAAAACGATGAGTGCAGTTTTCGATAAATTTTGATATCCAAGCAGCATGCTTGGTAATAACTTTTCATATACGATGCATATACGTTCCATAATTGTTTCGTCCATGCACTCTCTCGTTGACCTTCTCACATCGGCTGGATGAAAGTGTTTTTTTTGCCGTTGCTTACGTATGTGCTGACGCGCGTTCCGATATTGCCGGTTTGAACTTCGCGGCCTGCTCTCCGGGGTGGCGAGAGTGGTTTCGACTGACAAACCGGCGTCATCGATCGGATTGTTATTCCGCGGGGTAGAATATGCTAGACGTCTAAGCCGCGGATTCTCACACGTCATCGTCTGCGTCGTTATCACTTCGATCGAAAGATTCTCCAGCATCCTTGTGACTCTTAGGCAGAATTTCACCCTTCCTCTCTCAGCGCCCTCTTAAGTAGAATTTGTCCCAGCCGCTTATCGAATAGAGGAGTAATCCTTGCCTGGGATGATCACTTGGCGAAAATCCTTGGTGAACTGAAGTCGAAGTATCTCGGATAAGTCGAAGGGAGTAAACGCATGAACAAAATAAGGCAATAAATATACGTTCACGAACGTGAGAACGAGAGAACTTCAGATTGACTTATCTTTAGATTGCATCCCATTTAAAACTTAGCCACTTTCATGTGTTATACTTTTTGTATATTTCATCATATTCCATTCTTAAGAATGATATATTATCCCATTTCGCTCCATCTTTACTTCTCCCTAAGATTCTTGGCAAGCCCATAGCGTTGTTGGTATAAGAGGGTTGCGATCACTCCATGACGTCATTCGGCTCTATAGTTACTATCGCTGGAAGACGTAACATTTCGTGGGATCTGGCTGAGTGTGTTATGTATATATGTATGTGCACTTTATATACGAGAACGGGTCAGTCAGTAGCCTCATCGAATTACATAACTAGTCGTGTAACCTTTTGACCTTGTTCCCGAGTTCCTCACTAACCGCTGCTCGTACATCATCGTTTACCAGATTTGCATCGAATGGTATTCGTGGATATACCCATATCTATGTCAGACGAAGCGCGACAGTGCATCTCGCAATGATCTGCACAGGGTAGCGTGCCAAATAAACCTCGACCTCAAGCGTAGTATGCACATTGGTGAACTCGTTCTTAGCAGATGCGATATTATGAAAATGCTTGATTAATTTAAATTTTTCGTTTATTATATATGGGCAAGCGTTCCATACTTTTCACGATGGTGTTTCGGAAAATTCGTTTGACTATGTCGCACCAAACGTTAAGATCAACCTTGAAAGTAAGCCAAGGTATCATCTATCTTTCTTTCTCGCCTATGCTAATTATGACGCGTCAATACTGCCCACAGTGATTACATAATATCGCGCAAGTGGAAGCAATCTTACGAACACAGTCCGAATCAGTTCGGACAGTTCACCGACCGTTGTCAACGGAAAGATGTATCGAGGTATCTTCTCTAAATTTATAATGTCAATCATATCAAATTGATACACACACACACATATATATAACAAAATAATTTAAAATTATCACGTTGACGTATTAATGGAATTTAGAATTATAATAATAATTCTAAATTCCATTAAACTTGTCGTGTGAGACAGTTCGTAATTTTATATTAAAATAAATTGCTTCACAACGTGACATATTGCATATTCAAGGTGTGTGTGTGTGTGTGTGTGTGTGTGTGTGTGTGTGTGTGTATACAATACATACGCACATGTTCCTTTTAATATAATTTGTTCTGAATACTTATAGTAATTATGTTATGTAAAGTCTCGAACTACAATCACAGCGCTACTACAGATAATTCCACTTCTCAACAGGAAAAAAAGACTCTCCGAAACGGCGTTATACAACGCATAACAATATGTGCACGCAACGAGCAATATATCGTCCTTGTTGTACAATGCACCATATTAAATGCGGCTGATAAAAGTCGCATTGAGTGACGCACGAGATGTATGCGTAATTCTTTTTATCATTCCTTTATTGTTAGAGTTTGTTTTTATTAATATAGATATTAAAAATATGTTAGATATGAGCCAAACTCACCTTCGATGAATGAATCGTTGATTCGTCTGTGTAGATGTGTTATATACATGGCTATGCCTCTCTTCTCACTACCTTCCTAACGTCGCACGCGGAAGTGGTCATACAAGTCCATGTAATCACCCCGTTCTTTCAATTCCCCTTCGGCTTCTTTCTTCTCGTTCTCTAAAGAATTTTTTTAACTATTATTCCAAGTACCATATGTCTCTCCCTCGAGAACGAACGCGGATTGTGCCGACTCCGAGACAGTAGCCAGAGACCGAATCACTCGATTCGTTAGAGTTCTCACGGTAAATTATTTGGCTGTTTGATATTGCATCTTAAATTTATTTCGACAAATTCGAGATGTAAAGTATAGATAGTTACTCGAATCGGAAATATTGTTTGTGGTGTGTATATCGAGAAAATTATACATTAAAAAACTACCAAATGGATATTTCTGATAAAAATCTAACCAAGTACCGATTAGTTTTTATATGATGAGAAATATCGGTTTTTAATTTTTTCATCGGTTTATCTGATGAAATGCCATTATGATCGGAAATATCCGATTAAATTTAATTGGACATCTTAATTAGATATAAAAATTGATCAGATTTTGATATTCATTTGACAAATTTTTATCGAATAATTTCTCTCAGCATAATTCCATTACAATGAAAAGAATACTTATTTATGCACTATTATTGGGTCAACACTGTCAACAAAGAAAATGATATTTTGAAAACAATATAACTGCATGCAAGAGACATTATTTATTTCATTTAAACACAGAAAAAGTTTTTTTTTATTTTTTCGCCAAATAGGGTCGAAAATAGTAGTTAATAATTTTTTAATAAAAAGGTAATACTTAATTTAATAAAAGTGTATAGTATTTAATTTAATAAAAAGAAATAATCGACGATACCGAAATCACTAACTGATATTGCATGATCGCAGAATATTCACTTTCTCTCTTTTTCTCTTTCCATGTGGAAACATTTATCATGATGTTACCACAAAGTCTAATAGCTTACGAGCGCAAGTTCCACCGTCTATTCGATCATCTGCCATAAATATTTATCTCGAGCACACATGAATAATACTGGTAAATAAACGACTCTTTGTGTAAATTAATTCGTAAAAATACACTCTATCTCATAAGCAATTTTATTTCTAAGTTCCTCGCGGTTGGCTTTATTTTCGCACATACTGAAAAAATAGGCGTTATTTATCTCGAACTAAAAATAAGTGATTTTAAACGCGGCGAATTACACGAATCAATTCTCGCTTCGGCGAGAAATCGGTATGCCTGGGTTGGATTATCAAATTGCCGAATTCTACACGTGATATTTACTTTACGTCTTTACCTTAGCTAAAAGCACGACGTAAATCCTCGGTTGTCACGGTATATACGCTATGGCGAGTAATCCGATGCACTGTCATATTGGTCAGTGTAAGTGGACGCTTACCATAGATTCCCTCCCATAGACGGCTTCACGTCACATCCTCATTCAAGAACTTATTAATAATGAGACATTGTTTACGAGCCATCAATGTTGATCTTTCTATACCGTGGAAATCGCTATTAAGGACAATGTAAATTCTCACAAGGGTGCGCAAGCAGTTCCGGTGCAGTGATCATTCATTTCGATCATTGTATTTAATTTATTCATTACGCAATATTCGTTTTCCAACAATGGTTATAAATAATATGTCTGTATGTAAGTAATGTGATTACTATGTTCAATAAACGACATTATGATATTTTCTGAAATAATAAATTAGAAGCGATTATTTTATAGGAACTCTTCGTTTCTTTATTCGACTGTGCAATAGTTGGTACCTGTCGGTGAAACGTTATAATGTTATAAATGAGCGTTGGATGGAAGCGACGCGTTGAAGATGCATATTTCACGTATACTTACCCGGTGTTTCACTTAAGATCCAATCTATATAATTGCTGACACGCATATTGACTCCTGGGTTATTATCGCCACAAGCAATCCCGAAACTAATGATCCCTACGAGAACTTCTCGCTTCGTCGTAAGATCTTGCCAAAGAACGGGACCGCCGCTATCAAACTGTAATAAAATGTAGAAATTTATGTATGACTAACTGTGATAAAATATCGAACAATGGAGATTATGTGTTGTAAATATAGGCAGGATTATGTGAAAAGCCATAAGAGGTTTCATGTGATCCAAAATATCTGATTTGCCGATTATTTGCACGTAAGCTTTTCAATTAACAGCTGATGAGAAACCGCATTCCGAAATCACGACTCCATAATAGTATTATATAAAATTCCTATGAATAATGCTGATTAATGAAATACCTGACAGCCATCCTTATTCTTTCCATAGGTACATATTTGGTTATATGTTAAGTTTTGATAAGATTTCCGACAATCTCGGTTTGTGATTACACTTAACGTGACTTTTTGCAGAGTATTCGACTTCATACCTCCAAATTCTGTCGTCCCCCAACCTACATGTCATTAAAATTAAATGTATTACAATGATATTGTCTGTGCAACTAGCATGAAATAAATGTAACCAAGAAAATTAATTAGTCCTATAAATAAATAATAATTAAAAAATAATACGTTTGATGTTATAAGTAAATATATTTTTATACCCAGCATGTCCACGAAATTTCCCGCGAAAGAATCCCACCGGTGTTGAAACGGAAGACAAGCTGGCCCAACTTCTTCGCTAAAGTTTATAACGGAATTTACCGTTACTAGAGCTATATCATTATCCATCAATGAACTGTTGTAAAGTGGATATATTTTAAAGTCAGATACAGTGTAGATTTTCGAAGCGTTCGTTTCTGCGCCTGAAAAATGTTGATTCGCGTTATACGCGAATTATTTTCTCAAAGAAAACATTTAAATATTCAAGTTTCTATCTTCACGATATAAAGAACATTTACCCGTGGTGAGGTCATGGTCTCCTACGAGTACGCCCACGTTGCTTGTATTTCTATTGGACACGCAATGTGCGGCAGTTAATACGTGTTTTGGAGATATGATTGTTCCGCCGCAAAATACTTCTCTTTCATAAGGATCGACAAGACCAGCCATCATAGGATATTCGTTCACGCCAGTTTCGACACCTCCCACTATCTTCGTCTGTAAGGAACGATTAAGAGATTAAATTGGTTAAATTCGCTAAAATTTCCACACACGTGTGCACGTATTGCACAAATGACTTACGGCGCGATTTTAGCACGTACCGGTTTTTTCCATCCGCATTTGCAATCAGGATCCTGTTCGTCTTCAACCGCTTGCAGTTCGCACAGAAACTTAACTCCGGACGACCAGAATGTGGTCGACAGTTCAACGATCATGAATTTTCCTGTCGATTCTACGCTGAATGTGTCATTACCGCAATAAGACAGAACCGCGGAATTATTCACGCGTACGGTCAACCTGTCGAAGGAGCAACTAGGATTCTGCGGAAAATCCCGGATGTTATCGTAAAAAATTTTCTAATTTTAATTAATAGCAAATAATACATTCCAGTTTTGACAACTTAAAATATATGAAAAAAAATAAAATTATATACAGTAGACGCACGAGACGTACTAGACACAAATCAAGATATAGTAGACCTAAATCGAAACTTTAGGTATTTATTAAAAATGCTTTATTTTTTAAACGGATATATACAAATCTTACCCTTGGTATGTCGAACATTTTGCACGTCAATTTTATTCGATAATCACTCTCTGCGATCCATTTGCAAAACTGTCGACCTTTAGTAACGTTAGGGTAATCGGGATTGTATACGTAATAGATGGTACCGATATTTAAGCGCTGAGAATAGTTGCAGTCACGATGAAAGAATGCGCCTGACAGTATAAAACACAGCGACAGCCTCAGCGCAAATAGTAAAACTACAAAACGATAGTTGTTATCACACAAACATTTTGTGAATAGTCTTACGCTATTAATTTCACTTAAACATTATTTTTATCGTTTTCCATATTTGATATAAGTAGACGGGTAATTTTATCGAAACGTCTGTCCGGAACAATCGATGAAATGAAATTTTTGTGCTTGTGTCATTGTATAATCGATTGGAATAACTTAGGAATATACATTCGCATTTATGAAGAACCGCATTGCGGTTGTCATCGCGTAGCGCAAATGTATCGAGACATGCTACAAGACTGCGATAGGCTTAGACGGTGGCTAAGCGAATCGAATCGATATATAAATTCGTCTCGTCGATGTTGAATTTAAGTTATTGTAAATCGTGTAAATTAAAACTTCGGATTTACCCAAGATAATCGACTTGTACGACATGGAATAATGACACAAACTATATCAGTCAATTTTTAGTATATGTATCTTTTCACTATAAATATTTTACGTGATTCAAATGGAGAAACGCGACAAGTACTATTTTTACAAGCGACTCGAAGTCTTCAGATTAGTGAAGACATGTATAAATAATTAGTGCAATATTTATCATAAATTATATTTTATTAATAATATTTGTGCTATGAAATAGCTACTCATATCTGCCTGGTCTACAATATACTTTCTACCCTACGTTGAATGAACTTGAATGAAATATACGAGTCTCTCTATACATGTATGTAGCCTTTCATTGATTCGCGCGACGACGATCGTTTTAGTTGATTGAGTGCCAAGCGGAATAGAAAATAGAATAAATGAAAGACTCCTTGATACAAAGTCGCGATGAAAAGAGAAGAGTCAGTTAAAGGCTTCAGACGCAGTTGTATAAATATTAATGTAAAACTTTTGCGTTTACCGTAGATAATTTTGTCTGCTCTTTTTCTTTTAATTATGAGAATATCTAGAATAGTCTTAAACGATTGGAGTGAAACATGTTACTTTAATAGTTACTTTAACAATTATTGTAAACATTTATTTATATTTATAATTGTATAGATTTCATCATTCTTTGTTCGTACACAGGACTCTAATAATACCTTCTATTTCCAGTTAGGATATTTTAGTGCATTGTATCTATATATTTTGTATTGTAGTTATTGGTTTTAAGAGAAATCGACAACTCAGTCACATTAAATGCAACAGTAATAGTACATATATGCATTCACAATGCATATTACCATTGCATTCAAAGAATTTATTCACTAGGTATATATTTTTAAGGCACCCAAGGGACGTATTTTTAATGGCGCATCAAAGAAGCTATTCCTAAATCCATTATTTATCGAACAAAGTTACGTTTTTATATTTATTTCACTATCTAAATAAAAATTTGTAACTAATTTCTAAACTTAAAAATTTGTAACTAATTTCTCGTGATATTATCTTGCCACGTTTCAGTCAGTGCTTCACGTAATGCTACTCAAAGACATAAAATAGCAATTTTCTGGCTTAATCGGCTATTACACAAAACTCGCATGGTAAATATTATTCTTTCTTTTATACCGCGTTTCCTAATATGTAATATTTATAATGACTAGAACACCACATAGCGCGCGCTTCACGCACGTCACTTTAGCTTTTTCGTTGTATTTACAATTTATATTATAATATTCGTTTTTACAAATTATATTCCCAACAAACAATGTTACATGTAATTAACATGTATGTTACATGTAACATTGTGTTTGCTGGGATTACAATAAATATCAAATTCATATGGCGCGAACAACACAACCTGATCTGTCACCGCGGCTGACAACTGCAAGCGGCACGAATTCAACTGCGACGGGATGGAGACAATCGAGACGGTCGAGACGGCCAATTAGCGTCGCGGAAAAGAGGCTTTACCCACTTCGATACATTCGAGATTTAGTTAACATGCAATGGTATCATTGTTTACAAAATTATACTGAAATAATGATCATTTATGTTGTTTCTACCACATATGTGCGTCTATCACTTATATGTACAAAATTGCAATATCCAATATTAACCCTTGAACACCACACTATGTCCGTCATCCGATTACACCACACATGGGTTAGTCTCACCCAGCGTTTTGATTCTCCTGTATCTTGAGATATAATTCACGGATTTAGGCTTTTTTTTTTAATCGATACGCCCGACTCTGAGAAAGCTTAATTTACAGGTGAAAATTCAATCAAACTTTTAGTATTCGAGCTATATCGAAAATAATGAAACAAAAATTCTTTTTATTTAGAAAAATCGATTATTTGTTCTTAAAATGGTATCTTTTTTTGAAACCATCCATTGAGGTTTAAAAGTACAGAAATCGAAAGCTATTGAACTAAACATGAAGAAAAAAAATATTTTATTACGATTAGTTCGGAAAAAAACATTTGTTCAGTGAGGTAAAGTTGGGTAAATTTTGACTGTTGCAAAATGAAGTTTCTATCTAAAAAATCGTATTGTTCGTAGTATACAATGAAATTAATTTCTGTAGCATTGATTATAAAGTGTCGGCTGCAATTATAAACTACGAATAGCTGAAATTAGGAAGATTTGCATGCGTCTATATAAAAATCAGGTATAATGTGTCGAATAATAAGATAAGTAGTGTTTGAAAAGTAATTTATTATGGAAATACAGTCGCAACTTTATAAAAGATAGATAAATACGCCACATGACACTGTTATTTTTTATTGTTGCTAATATCTATGGAACATTCGCAACACACTTTGGCGATATGCTCCTTGCACATTAGCCGTTCGCAGCGCAAACATTTATAATAGGTTTTTCTATCTCAGATCAAAGGACGATATCCACATCTTTTTTGTTTCGCCATTTTATTGTCAGCTATTAGATCTCGAGGATCTTGATCTTCAGGTATATCTCTGTAATTTACTAAGGCTTCGATTTGAAGGCGTAAATTAAGTCTTATGAAGGGGGTTTGTGGAGGGGGTACAAACTTTTTTCCCCCAGAGTCTAGACCACCTCATCCAAGCCGTTTAAAAATGCCGCTTGCTTTTCAAACCCTCTGGGTTAGCGTAACCCAGAATGGTGTTCAAGGGTTAAATTTTTCATGAACGGTGCAAACAAATTCCATGAAATTCTAACTACGAATGTGATAAGTGTTACATTAATTTTTATAAAATTTTAAATATTTTTTAGTTTAACTAAATAAACTCCTTATGTGGCTAAGTTGCTAATTTTGTTCAAGTCTAATAAACATAATACAAAAATATGCAGGTACAACACCTGGGGCCAGATTCTCGAAAATATCTCGCATACGACATTTAGTGAAAAGCTATAGTATACATAACACCAACTATAGCTTTTTACTAAGGGTGCACACTACTAATGCTACCGCTTCTATCTTTATTGCTCCTTGGATATACAACAAGGATAGAATCACATGGTAGTTGTGTGTATGTACATACACTGAGCAGATAAAGAATAGAAATCATCGTGCGTTTTCTACTAAGTCCCATCTTGCTCCATCTAGCGACATTTCATAGTACTTTTACGTTGCTCGTTACCATGGCGATTCGATCATGGCACTGTGCATAACATAAACAAATTTTTGACATTTTAGAGTTTGTCAAGCAGAAATAAAAGTGACGCTATTTTCCAAGAAAGGAAGATACCTAGAAAAGGAGAAGAAGAGGAAACAGATCTGAAAATGTTTGTGCAAATAATATTAAAACTGCACACGCAAGTAGTTTTTTAAGATATATTATTGCTTACGTTACGTGTATATTTTATTAGCAATGCCAAATCGTGATGATAATGCTGACAAGCGTGTTAAAGGAAAGGTAAATTTTATGAAGATTTATTTTTCTTCATATGTTTTCCCATTACACACATATAGTTTATATTTTATTTATTATTATAATTAATTTTATGACAATTCTAGAGTAACAGTCGTAGAAACTTAAATGCAGAAAATGAACTGGAGCCAGTGCACAAACCATTACATCGTCATAGACGGGTCCATAAGGCAAAGCATTCAAGAAATAACGATGCGCTTGGAGAATTGATGGGTAGGAATGGAAATAGTGATAGTGCTGTGCTACCTAAGAAAAATGGCAAACGTTGCATTCAAAGGGATATTGATAAATTGGTTGAAGAAAATCGAATATTAACAATGAGACTTGAAGGCTCTGACATAGATCCTGGTAGGTTGCAACAAGTAATACAATTTTACAAAGTATTGAATAATATTCTGTGATGAATTTCAGAAACTTTTGCAAAATTGAAGGAAAAGGATTCCGTAATGTCAAGAATCTGCAATAAGTATCACAAGTTGTTGAGAGATCGTGAGGAGCTTCAGCAAGAATGCGAGAAGCTGAATGCTCTATTGGCAGAACATGAAACAGAATATCGCCAACTGCACATACATCACAAGGAATTTATAGAGGCTTTACAAAAAGCTGAGAAAACAAAGGTCAATCTTCTAGCATTCAATCAAAGATTCAAGGTTGAAAATGTTCAGTTAAACGAGGATGTACTGCTTCTTAAAAATGTGATATATCGATTAAACGCAGAGCTAGAGAGGTATCAAGATAAATTAAGGGAATCTGGCCAAAGTGTTGCAGCCAAAGATATTAACGATATATTAGACTCTAAGGCGCAAGCCAACGACATTAAAAAGGTATTGGAGTCATGGGGTTCTGTGAATACTCATGTACTAGGCCCGCTTTTAGATGCTTATCAGGAAAGTCTGTCAGAGAAACAGGAGCTTATAAACAAATATGAGGAAGACATCGCGAATTTCGGCGCTAGATGTAAGGAGGTTATTGCGGAGAATGAGTCCATGCAAAGTGAAATGGAGAAGCTCAGATCACAGGTATTACAATCGTAGAAAGTTGTATACTTTACAAATTATTGTAGTGAAAGTTTTCCAGTGTACCAAGTATGCGGACGAAATCAAGATGATATCCGAGGACGCTGATCTGCTTAAGGAATTAAATGAGTGTTACGCGAAACAGACAGTTCACCAGAAGCAAAAGATTCACGAGATCCATTCTTTGTATGAGCAAAAGGTGGAGACGATGTCGTTTGACAACACTAGACTTCACGAGGAGTGTCTTACTTCCAAGACGGAGCTGAGTAATCTCCAAGGGAAATATGATGTTCTTCACAAAGAATATGAGAAGCTGCAAAATGACAATACAAAAACGATGCCTATCGACGTTCACAATGCTGCAGTCGAGGAATGCAAAGAACTGTTTGAGAAATTGAAACGTCAATACGAGACTGAAAAGGAAAAGCTATCCACTCGTATTAAAGAATTGGAAGAACTACATTGCCAGAATAAAACGCAATTGGACGTAGTTACTATAGAGAAAAATCAATTGAAAGTATCGAATAAAAATTTTGAGAAGAATTTGAAGTACGTATTATCTATTCATCACGAATCTCAAACGAGCGCGTGAGAATTTAATATACACAGCGTTTATTTGAAGTCATTTATATTTTTCAGACGAACGCAGCGGAAACTGGAGCATATTCAAAAGATCGCGCATTCCGTGCAAGTATCTCGTGATTCTTTCAAGAAGCAATTAAAGAAGACTGCTATGTATTGTGAGGAATTGTTTAACGAATACGAGAGGACAGTCGCCGAGCGGGACAAGCTGGTTTCTCTTCTGCACGAAACAGAAAACGAAAATGCGAGTATTCATTTTCTCGGCGATACCATCACACAACGTGTGGGTCATTTGAAGAAGCAATTAAAGGTACATAACGTGAGATACGTATTGATAGATGTTTTCTTTGTTGTCGATTCCTTGAACTTTCAAGCAAATGTCATGGTATTACCGTTCTCAGGTCGTACACGAGGGTGCCAAGCAACAATTGGAGATGGCGGAGAAAAGTATGAAAGTACAGCAGCTCGGAGTGCATCGGATGAAAGATGAATACCAGCGAGAACTGCAACGCCTCAAGCACTTGGTGAGACAGAAAGAGGAGGTGATCGGGCGACTGCAGAAAGAGATCTGCGCCACTCGTGAGAATTTAGAACTCATTTGGAAAGCTACTGCTACAGATCAGAAAAAAGTTAAGGGAGCGTTGAAAAATGTAAAGATTCAGCATGTCTGAAGTATGTCTCGGACAGATTATTTGACGAAAATAATGTAAAATAAATAATACTACCGTTCAGCACGACAAAAAAAAATTAACATATAAGTATTATTGCGAACGAATAATATTTATTTGGTCTAAACAATGCATCAGAAACAAAACTGATTAACTCAAGAATACTTTATCGACTAAGTAAAAGGAAGAACTAGTCATTATTGTGTACAATCTTTGCAATTTGTTACATATATTGTTATATATCTATGATTGCGATAGTTGTATCGTTTTCTCTCTACTCAATAAACAGAAGTAAAATATCGAGATATACCGACTGCGATCGGTCATTTCGGTGTTACGTCACGAAAGCGACATCGCGGCGGCACTCGTCATCGCTCGGCCGATCGCCGGGATAATGTATTCAACACGATAATGACATTCCGCGTAGCAAATATGCTCTGCGCGAGTTTGCCCGTACAATGCTCGATGGGAACAACAGATTTATCGCCAGTATCACCGCCTTTATTTAGTGGTGACATCAACCGCGGCAAAAGGTTCTGAAGGCTACCATTTGTGACAGAGTTAACGCCGGGGATCGCGGGCTGTGACGTGAAAAATGAACGTCCTCGCATATAGGAATGATCTCACATTCCATTAATATTAACGTGTAACACGCACACGTGCGCTCGTCTATCGGTCTATCTCACCTTGCGACTGTGCATGTACCATAGACGGTTTTCGCTAATAACCGAACGTTTTTCCTAGAGTGTTTTTGCGCGGGTAATCTGTGGACATAGTACTGACTTTGATCCAGCGATAATAGGTGTACGCTATCGAACGACGGAGATATCACGATACACTGCCGATACGTTACTTCGATCTTCTACATTGAGGAAAAAGAATGATTGATCAAGCAACAGTTAAAGTTATTTTTGGCTTCAATCGGATTTTTTGGTTATTCTAACACGAAAATGGTGATAGTAGTATGCGTATAAAATGCGTATAAAAGCCGACGCGAAATTAAGACAGAGAGAGATCCGTTAAAGAGCGTCTCAGAGGAGCTCTCCAACGGATCTCTCGCTATCTCAATTTCCCGTCGGCTTTTATACGCATTTTAGTAAACAGCAAAGCTGTTTGTTGATGTCGCGGATGTTCGGCGCTTGTCCCGCGGCTGGTCGGCGTAAACAATTTATTCTTCGTGACGATAACTCTTATGGATCGTCACAGTATACATACATGTTATCACTAACGTTATAGTAGAATTTAATAAATAAGCGGTTTTCTCGGCTATAATTTATAATAATCACTTCTCTATGTGATTGTACTTACAAATACAAGACATTTTTTCCTCAGTGTAATCGAATTGCTTTCGAACGAATTATATCGAGCATCAAATTAACTCTGCCCAACAAATACAATGTTACATGTAATATACATGTTGGTTATATTTTCCTACTCAACAATGTAACTGTTATATAACATACGTGTTATATAACAGTTATATTGTTGAGTAGGAAATTACAACTAACATGTATGTTACATGTAACATTATGTTTGCTGGGTGAATATGGTCCCTTCAAATCGCTTTCGACTACTCGAGTCAAATGAAAAACGCTGTCCGCTTTTTACTTTTTTGTACAATCGAAATTTTATAATTGACGTTATGATGAAATGTGAAATAAACGCAGTTACTAATATTTACTTTGAGCATTTTCGTGACTAGATGTTCTCACGATTTATCTTTCTTGATCTTTCTGTGTCAGGTGAACGAGAGTGTTGCCTTACTTCAGTGGTAAGGTTAACCATCGCGCCAGTTACATCGTAGGCCGGTTACACGCGACAGGCATATTAATTCAAGAAACTAGTTCTTGCACAATATATGCGTGACAGACACATTTCGAATGGATCCACGAGGATAACGTATATCGCGGACGTGCTGAAACGAAACCGAGAGCGAAATGTCGAAGTTCTCGAAATCAAAAGCGAGGTACGCAATTCATCATGTTAGGTTACGGTACATTGATACTTTTCAAGGGCATCTCTCATAGAAGAGAAATCTACGAAATTCACGTCGTCGAGATGTATTCGTAAGCGAGTTCCTTTTACCGATTTGCATTTACGTAGAGAAGGAAATAATGAGAGGAGGTTGTTGAAAAAATTATAGTTTATCGCATTATTAGGGTACAACCTCGTCAATTTGTTCGATTGCTCACAAATGCTATTATTTTCGTTACATGCGTCGTAGAACATTGATGCTGTCGTAACAAGTAACGATCTTTGTAATTTTCATTTTTCCGTATGCTGATGACTGTGTTCAGCAGTGAAACAAGCAGAGATAGAGACGAAGAGAGAGAAAGAGACAGCTGCTCTGCAACTGTTGTAAAACTTGTGAAAAATTTGATTAGGGTATACTTTTAATCTTAGCTAAATCTAAGAGCACATATCAACCAAATTCACAAATTTTACAATAGTTGCAAAAGCAGTTTACTCTATAGAACGCAGCTAATAGCTATGTGCAATAAAGAAATAGAGAGAGAGAGAGAGAGAGAGAGAGAGAGAGAGAGAGAGAGAGAGAGAGAGGGGGAGAGAGAAAGAGAGAGCTGCTTTGCAACTATTGTAAAATTTGTGAATCCGATTGATGTGTGCTCTTAATTTCGGCCGAATCTGAAAGTCAGCCAGATTCGCGAATTTTAGAACAGCTATAAAGCAGTTTGCTCCGTTGGACGAAGCCAATGACGGCATGTGATGCCGATGGTGTCAATTAAAGTTCAAATTGAATATTCGCGCGGCGCGCGACGGAGCGTGAGGTGCCGAGTGCGCACGGCCTCGCTCGGGCGTTTCCGGCGCGCTTCGGGCGGACTCGGACAAAGGCAAAATGTCGTCTGCTAGGCGCGTCGTCCGTCGTCGGTGTAACCGGGTCTCGGGCATTCGTGACGTGAAAATCGTGGCGCGATAAGGCGATAACGCGCTTTGCGCGCGCTCGGCGCTCGCGACTACACATTGTGCCTGATGGTTCAGTGCCGCGCGCCTAGTGACCGTATCCCCGTTATCAGCTAGTGGACGCGCGTACGCCGGCGATAAATGCGAAAGTCGAGTCGTGCCGTGCCAAGAAGCACCCGCTGCGTCCGCGTCGCGCCGGTGGTAACATCGATTTTCGCTCGTTTTCCTCGCTGGCGTGCGGCCGGACAGATGACCGGCGTGTAACACGTCGCGGGTCCCAACGTGCCCCGTCATCACGCGTACACGCTCCTCGCGGAATTCCACGTCCCAGGGTCCGGCGATGTCGCGAGCTATTCTGCCGTGAGGTTGTGCACCAGGAGGTGAGGACGACCACCGTCGCGTGAGACTGCGACAGATTATTTTCAGCGTAAGCTTTCCTTCTCTCCCTCTCTGTTTCTCTCTCTGTCTCTCTCTCTCTCTCTCTCTCTCTCTCTCGCGTTCATATGCTCGCTCATTCGTTCTCGCCTCCTTCTTTCGAACGTCCCTTGTCACGACTCGCTCTTTTTTTTCCGTCTTTGCGCGTGGCACGCGCAAACTATCGCACTGTCGCGTGGCTCCTTAGCCGCTGTTGCCTATAGTTAGTACATGCTGCAAGAGCGTGCCGTCACCCGGTGCGTGGGAGGAAGCTCGAGAACGCCGGAAGTAAGTAGAATCCTCGTTACACTTTGCGAACGTTAGCTAGGTTAGTCTAATCGCTCCGACCGCGCACGTAGCTGGTGTAACGCGGCGTGCTCGCAGACGAAGGCAGAAGCTACGCGTGACCGCGACGACGTGTATGTTTGGCTTACGTCGTCGTCGACGACGACAATGACGACGACGACGCCGCTGCGTCGCGTTGTGTTGCAGTGCGAAACTTAGAACATGCGAGGGTGATGCTCTGATCGGCAGATGTTTCACGGGATCCCCAAGCCCGCGTGTTCGCTTGTCGTTCGTTTCGAAGTCGTAACGACTACCGTTCGCGATCGACACGCTTATTTCGTTGTTTCGCGGATCGTTGTGCGAAAGTCCGTGACGTCGTAATCGTCTATTGCGTGTTGTTGGGTAGCGAGGGTCGCGCGTAATCGTGGATATCGTTGCAAAAGTGTGCAGGTGAGTGGAAAAAGCGCGGAAGGAATTTTGTGGCGTGACGATGACTCGGTTTTTGACTTCTTGTGTTTCTACAGTGACAATGAAATTCGTTTTACCTCTTTGCTTCACTCTGTCTTGCTAAATATTATGTAAAATGCATAGATTCGTATTAATAGTTGTCGCTTGAAAATTGCTTCGCGCGAGACTTCATATTTGAATTTAGAGTCAGCTGTGAGTTTTTCAGTTAGATCACGAGTGCAGATATAACGTCGCATATATTATATGATCGAACTAAAAAAAATTTTGATATATCTCTGAATTGAATTCTGAGTATCTCATATGACAACTTTCATGTAACGATTATTAACACGAGCCATGAAGACAAATAATGAAAGTAATGAAATTTCAGATGTAGAATAGATATCTGACTTTCAGCACTAATATTCTGAAATTCAATTCTGAAACCGTTGGATGTTTTATTAGCCATAATTTCCTTGACCGATTTGTAAACGACTTTAGCGAAAATGTCGAGTGAGAAATATAGATTGTTATATTCGCATATATTCATGGTCATATTTACACAAAACGCCTTTCTAATCGTTAACGCCGCGTGTCGTTAGAATTAATCTTCAAACTGAAAATTCCGTTCAAATAGTATATGGAATTCGCGTATTGTACAAACAATGCCAGGACCAAGTGCACGGTGACTGTTTGTCTTGTTCCTGTCGTAAATTTGATTAATTCGCTATGAGAAAAGCGCAGACTGTTATGACTAAGTGACGGCGGTGCGCCGATCGGTATTCAATTTGCGCAATCGATAAACCTTGAATATGTGGAAATATAACGATAGCAATGATAAACGTTCGAAGGCGAACGATCGAGAATGGGCGGAATATCGGTAGTCACGGCGCGCGATTCTCGCAATTGATGACGACTCACCATCGGATTTCTGTGATTGATATCGCGCATACCCTTCTCAGCTGTGTATTTTCGAAATATCTCTTATACGTGTCGATCGATTGACCGGTTTACGGCCTCTGCTCGCTTCTGTCGACCTTCTCTCGAAATTTATCACCGCCGCAACCCCCCGACCCATATACGAATAAACTCGAAACAAGCGGGACTTTGCGAAAAACCGTCGATTTCGAGAAGGTGAGCGCGCGAAGCCGATCGATAGGAGGAGGAGCGCGTTTAATAATGCAGGTAAACTTTCGCGACTGTATATTCACCTTCTTGTCCCAGGAAGGACTCGTGAGAC